GAGCCGCCTTATCTCTGCCGAGCCCGGGAGCGGCGCTGGGGCCGCTGCCCTTGGCGCTCCGTTATCAGCGCAGCTCAGCGGCTCTGCCCTTGGGGCTGGGCTGGAGACGGGAGTTGGCTAACGACGCGGCCTGGCACCTTTCCCACGGGCGTGCTCGACTCCGAGCACGGTTCTCTCGGCGTTTGAAGTGAGCCGGGAGGAATCCGCGGTTTCCCTGGCCCTGTGCGTGCACGTCCCGCTTGGCACGGGGCTCCCGTTGTAGCCGTGCCGAGTGGCTTTGGTCCAGAGAGCAGCTCTGACCTCTGCGCAGCAATCCTGGTGCTTTGGACGTGCTGCAGGGAACTTGAGACTTTCTAGTGGCACTGTACTGTGCGGTGGCACATCCGTGCAGCTTGTCTCTTACTCTGAACCCTGCTCTGTACTGTACTGATGGTGGTGGGTGACAGTGGTACACAAGCTCCCGTGCCTTGCCTTGAGCCTCCAGGCTGCTGGTTCAAGAGCAGAGAGTTCTGTAGTGTATTGGTAAATATTTGTGTAAGTATTTTGTAATATTTTGGGAACTCCTACCAGGCCTTCCACTGAATCTTGCTAATGGCCCTGACCAAGCAACAGACAAGCTGTGATGGTTTCTGGCTGCTGTTACAGGGTTTTTTGCTTTCCAGAAGGTATTCACTGTTGAATTCATATATTAGTTCTATTTATCTTTTGCCGTTAAGCCTGGTAGTAACATTTTCCCCCCAAAGTAGAAAGTGTACTCCTAAGCCTAATCCCTAAAAAGCCTAGGGAAGCTTGTGAGCTTACTGCAGAAGTACCTGAAAGTTTTTGTGTTGCAAGTCATAACCCTGACCTGTGATCATGGTAAACAAAGGGAAGATTTCCCTTTTGCAAAGGCTTTTCAAGGCTGCTGTTTAAGGCATTTGGTGATCAGAGCAGGTATCTGTGGGGTGTCCAGAAACTGAACCAAGGACACAAACACCATTTATTTGTGTCCTTGGTAGGGATACAGGTTAAAATTTAATCCTAGTTGGAAAATACTCATGATCCTGAGGGGAAAGTTGTTCCACACTGCCTTGCTGTCAGTGCTGCTGCTGGCCTCAGCTTGGACTCCAGCCGTCCTGGAGCAGGGCTGAGAGGAGACATCTGAAGGCACAGCTCAGGCTTGGCTTGGGGTTTTGAGCCTGTGAATTCCTATTTTTCAGTCCTACTACTTTGACCGGGATGATGTGGCTCTGAAGAACTTTGCCAAGTACTTCCTGCATCAGTCCCACGAGGAGCGTGAGCACGCGGAGAAGCTGATGAAGCTTCAGAACCAGAGGGGTGGCCGCATCTTCCTGCAGGACATCAAGGTGAGGAGTGGAACCCTGAGCTGTCCTGCCTCTTGTCTCCAGGCTGGAAGGGGAGGAATCTCCCTATGGGCTCTCTCCCAGGGGAGCAGCAGCTGAGAGTGGAGATCAATGATTTGAGATGAGTAGTAACGTGATAATTTGTAACAAAAAGTATTTCCTGTGGGAGAAGAGAATGCCAAGCCCAAGGTGGTTTACTGTGGGGTGAAAACAAACAATGCAACTAGTTCATCCTCATCTTTAAATTTAACAGCAGAAGTGCTTTGTACAGTGTCTTGAGGAGGGATTTGGAAGGGGCATTCAGTTCTGAGTGTGCACTTCGAATGCTTGATGTTACCTAACTGCCTGAACTTGGTCTAAACAGGCTTTGACAGTGATCTAAAGACTTTGCTCCCTACTGGTGTGTGGGTACTTAGAGCCAATGTGTCCTGTGCTTTGCCCTTGCAGAAGCCAGACCGTGATGACTGGGAGAATGGCCTGACTGCCATGGAGTGTGCTCTGCACCTGGAGAAGAACGTGAACCAATCACTGTTAGAACTGCACAAATTGGCAACTGAAAAGAATGACCCACACGTAAGTGGGTGCTGAGCCTGGGGGTGTAGCTGTGCCAGGAGAGAGCTTGGATGTGTCTCACTGGGTTGAGGGCTGAGCTAAGGGACCCTGATGTTAATAAAGGTCAAGGAAGGTGTGAACTAGGGGTGCAGCCCTGCAAAGGGAAAGGCCCAGGTGTCAGCCTGTGCCTTAGGTGTTTGGTGGGGTTATTGCTCTCCTTCCAGGAGGACTTTTAGGGTGGCTGAGACCTGCTTTATTTTTTCTGAAGTGTATTAAGCTCTGTGGGGTCTTGTTTCCAAGAACAAGTCATCTGTGGGGGATAAGAACTCATCCAAGGGGGATGAGTTCAAACTTCAAAGGCTTTTTGTCATGAGGCTTTTGTGCCACAAAATTTTGGAGGCACTTCTGAATGTTAAAGGCTCTGATGGTTGTGTCTGAAAACATAGTTCTTCACAGATGGAAGTTTTTAGTATGGCTGCTTGGTATCAGGAAGAGCTTAGTATGTGTGTGAATCCAAGTACTCTTGGGAATGTCCTGTATAAGCCAGAAAACAAACCAACATAGCTGGGCCATTCCAGAGGTGTAGATCCTCATGGTTGTGAGTTTGAGTGCTGTGCGGTGGGGAAATCTAAATCTGTGCAGAACCCTTACTAATGCTTCCTGCAGTGAGGAAGAGGAGAGGCTTCCTGAGCTGACCTGCTCTGCAGGGTTCTGGAGCAAGGTGTTGCCTCACTTTGATCTCGTTCTGGCATTGCTGAGGCAAACTAAAGGTTGTTTGTTTGCTCTCAGCTTGAAAATTGTCCTCCCTAGGGAGGACTGGTAGGATTTCGGGATAGGCTGTGCCCAGGCCTACATTTCAACTCTCCTGTCTCCCTTGCAGTTGTGTGACTTCATTGAGACTCATTACCTGGATGAGCAGGTGAAGGCCATCAAGGAGCTGGGTGACCACGTGACCAACCTGCGGAAGATGGGGGCACCCAAGTATGGCATGGCAGAGTACCTCTTTGACAAGCACACCCTCGGGGACAGTGACAATGACAGCTGAAGCCTTGCCCAGAGCCACGCTGTGGGTTTCAGTGGGACTCGTACTTACTGTCCAGCCGTGCATGCAGCTTCAGCTACCTAGATAAACAGTTCCATACTCTGTACCAAATACCAACCCTCGTGTTTTATGTACTGCCCTCCAGCCAATAAAGTGACTTGGTTCCAGCTTGCTCTTCCTTTTGAGTTCAGAGGGAGAGGAGGCAGCAGTGGAAGGGGTGTGGGAGGTAGATTTGTTGTGTGTTGTGGGAGGTTTGCAGCTGGTGCTGAAGGCAGAAGTAGGAGAACTTGTGTGGTTTCTCTAAATCCCTGCTGATGGGAACCAAAATAAGGAAATGAAACGCTGGTCCTGGGCTTGAGCCTTGCTTTTATTTTCTGATGGTGGGCAGTAAAACTCAGGTGGATGGTGTCTGCTGCCATCCAGGTTTCTCTGAGCACTGCAGATCTGTGGCAGAGGTGATGTGGAACTTCAGAAGGAAGCAATGTGCTGGGCAAATGCTGCAGCTGCCTGTGCTGGTGGGCACTTACCCTGCCTTACTCCAGTACTTTCCCAGTACTGGAAAACACCAGCTGGACATGACTGGAACAAGCACTGTGGGTCTGCATCACAAATTATGTGACTTGCTTCAGTCCCTTACTTTCCCTGGAGTATCTAGTAGTGCAAGTCCTGCCTGAGATTTGTAAGCTCAAGTTCCAATTCTTGCTGTGAGGAGGAGGAAAGTATCCATAGTAACTATACCCCTGGTTTGGGCTACACAGGGTGGTACCTGCTTGAGGTATCAGCAAGTCCTTCATACTCCAAGTCTTGTTCTTTTGCTGCAAATTGAGTTTTGGTGGTTTTGACATCATTGTAACACAGGTGGTGCCCTGGTACTGTAGCTGAGGCCAGGAGCAGTGTGTCCTTAGTGCTGGTTGTAGCCTAGGCTGGGCTCCAGCTGCACGTCCTGCACTGCCCTTGTGTTTGAGTGAGAGCCAGCTGTGAAGATCCTGCACTATCACTCATCTGGCAGCCTCGTCGTCTCCTCTAGCTGTACTGGTCTATCTGCTCCTCCCCTGGGCTTTCACTAGCCTCCATGATCACCTCCATCAGCCCCACAAAGTCGCCCTCAGCTAGGGAGATGCCAGAGTCATTGGGGGATGGACTCTCTGCTCTTCTTGCCTCTTTTGTTGGGGGGGGATTAGTGCTTCCATTCCCAGTGTTCCTAGAAACCTCTGGATGCTGGTCTGGAGCGCTGGCTGCATCTTCCAAACTCAGGCTGCGAGCATCAGGGCCCAGATTGCCCTTGTGAGACCTCTCCAGCACTGGAGATGTCACAGGAGTGAAGGAGAAGCAGAGGGAGGCACTGCCCCCAGGGGTTTTGTTACTGGAATGCTCCAAATTGGGAGTGGCTGGTGATGTGCTCTCCAGGGTTAGCCAAGGTGGGCGTGAAGCTTTCAAGCTCTTCGGACTCTTGAAGCTGCCTTGCTTCTCGTGGTCGGGGGACTCTGCCAGGAAGGGGAATTTGGGGCTGCCTGATGCTGTGGACTGTGCTCCTGGGCTTCCTGTGGTGACACCTTCTCTGGAGCTGCTCTTCTCTTCTTCTACTGTGACAAACATGGAGTTAGGACCTTTGCTCTGATCTGTTGGCCAAACAAAGGTTTCCTTAGCCCCTGAGCCAAGGGAGCTCTGGCTCTTGTCCACGTCACTGGCCCTGGAAGGTGAGGCATTGACAACAACATCCCTGAGGGAAGTAGAGCAAGCAGCAATGCTGGAGAGCGCCGGAGGCTTCTTGCGGCCTTGGCGCCTGGAAGGGAAGATCATGGGGATGGAGCTGATGGGAGTCTGTGGAGCACTGTAGAAACCAGGTCTCTCATAAAATGGGGTTGACATGAAGGCATCAAGCTCCCTGAGTTTCCCATCTTCGTTGTCCCACGGCTCCTGGGAGTCTCCCTTTGGCTGATTGATGCCACAAGGGCTTCCAGGCTTGCCCATGTCGTGGTAGGAATAATGGGAGAAGGGTGATGAAGGTTCTCCTCGCCGGCGCAGCAGGTTCATCCGGGAAGAGGACCTGGAGAAGGTTGGTGACTGGACACCCAGGAGGCGGCTCAGGTGTCCCAGTAATGGTGTGGAGTGGTTGGCCTCCTCATTCTCTTTAATCTGCTCCAGGGGCTGGAACTCCATGTCTTCTTTCTGCATGCTGGGAAAGGCAAAGAGGGGTGTTACACAGCTGCAAAGGGAGGGGGTTTCTGCTGGATGGGCTGGAGGCACAGGGAATGCTGCTGCCAGTGGCAAGCTTCTCCCTGTAGTGCCATTAGGTCGGTGTCAGCCCCCCACAACAGGGATGCTCATTAAACAGGTGTGGAGG